CAGAATCAAAGAAAGAAAAATTGAATCAGAGTAATTAAGATAAGGAAGATGAAGAATAAAATTTAATGGTGGTATTAACAAAACCTAAATCTCGTTCAAGTGGAAGGAATATTCATTTAGGTGATTAAAAAAAATATCTCGTCTTTGAGGAAAAAAACTTTTTTTCGCTTCTCCACCAGGTAATTATCTCTTGAATTTTTTAGACAGAGATTTCAACTTTTATTTTAGGTAAATGCTTCACCTTTTTCCTTTTAATATATTAATAGATATGTGTAATTCCAATTGACAATTCAATTCCGTTTTATATTTGTATATCTTATTTATTAGTTTGAGAAGATAATTAAATATAGCAATACGTGTCACACGTTTTCCTGTCATGCTTGATGTATGGTCCAAAGAGATTGGAACGTTATAATCCATCCGTGCATAAGGAAGGAAATTATGCAGTCGATCATATGGCAAGGCTGACGGCTTTACATTTGATTGGGCTTCAGCGCTAACTAGTACAACACCCGTGTATTACACGGGTGCTTGTTAAAAAATTATTCTTAAATTTTACAATTGAGAAAACAATATTAAATTTAGTTTACTTTTTTTAAAAAAATATATTACTATATATTTTAGAATGATATGTGTTACTTATGACTTACATGTGTTATATTATATTAGTTTTTATAACTTATATCATATAACTACTTGAAATATAAATATATTAGTTGATAAATAATTTTATTTTTCTAATTAATATTAAAAAAAATTTTATTATTGTTATAAAGATAAATATAAATCATTTTTTTTTATACATACAATATGGATGTTAAATCGAAACTCATCAAAAGAAGATTAATATGATATATTACATATGCAAAACTGATAAAAAATACAAAAGTTATTAACTTCTAAAATATATATACAATCCAATAGTTATAATAAGGAATGATATTAAAATGCAATTAATACATGTAACATGACCATAAATAATCAACATATTTATGGTAATCTGAACCTAATTATTTTTGGTTTGAAATAAAATTAAAATTACCCAAGCCTAATAACGAAGCATGTAATTTTGCCACATAAGATTCCGAAGCACCAGAAGCAGCCACGTAGGCTCAGCGCGTTATGAATTAATATATAGGGGGGTTTCCTCTCCTCCAGGGATGGCAAATGGCTAGAGCATGATATTATTAGAGTGTCTTATTCCCGTCGAGTACTACTACTAGTATAGACCATTAGCCTCCTTCATTATAAAAAAAAAAAACAAAAACAAAAATATGATGCACTTCTATTTGGAGTATCACACATATTCATGAAAATTTGAGAAAGTGGGAGGAAATCATACAATACATTTGACTGGTAAAAGAAAACAAAATAAAAAGTCAAAAATCACAGACATGAAAAGCCACATAGGACTATTTTAGTGACACAGACAAAGGAAAGCAAATTGAAATAAGTGATGAAATGCAACCAATCCCAACTCTTTCCTTGCCCTCCAAGTGCTTTTTTTTTTTTTTTTTAAAGGAAGAACTTGCCCTCCAAGTTCATTGACCAACAAACATCTACACAAAGTTCACTATAAATATTCAATCATTTCTAATCTTCTCACCATAAGAAAAGATAATAAATTAACATTTTGAAATTAATCTCCCAATAAGTCTATATATTTCTAATATTCCCTGCAAACATACTTGGATAGTCGAAGCTCTATAAAGATGAAGCTCGTGTCGAGTCTCTTTGGCTGCTTTGGTTTATCATCTTCACGTGTATATAACTCGGGCGCGAAAAATCTTGGTGATAAGCCAAAGAACAAAGATGGCAAGTCATCGAGCCCTCGTCTCCCAATTGTGGTCTCTTATTTCCCAGTAAATTCACAATTCTCCCGTTTGTAGTTCTTCGTGTGCGTGTGTGTACATAAATTTCATTTTAATCGAGTTACAAAAAATACAATGAATCAAGAATTGGGTCTCTTTGGTGAGTAGTGTAGCTATATATTACATTTCTTTTTGTCTTCATCATTATGGTTTCTATTTATTGAACTCTTTTTGTAATGTTTGTTGGGAGAATAGCTCATTTTCAGTGTGTACTTCTTCATATTCAATAAAGACATAGATTTATCCATTATCATTTGCTGCTTGTGTTTATACAAAGTCGACGAAGATGAGTTTCTCTTGTAGGCATCTGCAAGTTTTAATTTTCGCCGGGAAAGCACAAAAGATTCGAACTGTAAAAATAAGTTCGATTTTTGGGAACAACTAAGCTCCCTATATTGTGATTCAAATTCTGTGACAATTTACACTCAGAAGATTATCATGAAAAGAATAGTAACATCACTCAGTACCAGGAGAATAACACAGACGCCAATGATTAAAATTTCATTAAAAAAAAAGTAAATTCAAATACTGTTGATCTCAAGATGATGAAAAACTGAAGATAAAAGGCCAATCCACAGATGAAAAAAAAAAAAAAATCACCATCAACAATGAAAACATAACACGATTAACCTGCATGACATTGGAAAAACGAGCAGCACGATAACATGATATCATAAGAACAAAGCTTTCTTATTTTTTGCCACTTTTCTTGAGACCTGAGCCTCCAAATGCTCCTTTCTGCTGAGCCTTTGCCTTGAGCTCCTTAAGAGCCTGCAGCCAAAAACAAACCCGTATTGTTAAAATTAAATTGTTAGGTCATTGCAAGGGGGGCATTTAATTAAGAAATACTGTTTTGCCTTTTCTTCTTCCTTCTTCTTTTGGATGTTAGCCTTGTCGAACTGCAAAAACCGGGGGAATTCATGTAAGATCTAATCCAAATATCCAATACATTCATGATATAGCATCATGCAAAGAGTTCTTCCTTATTTGCTCTTTCCCCTATTATTCCACACAATCAAGTTGGTAGATATTCGATTATGAAGAAAAGTGACATCAAGATGCCGGTTAAAGAGTATTTAAAGGCACCACGATATTTAACTCATTTTGTTTCAAAGAATTTTCCACTCAATTGAAATTATTATAAACATTAAGTTTCAGGAAAAAAAACATGAAAAATAGCTTAAATCTAACTCAAATTCACCACCTTAACATGTCGATTCAAAACCATAAGCACCAACGCTCTCGTAACAATTTTTTTTTTTAACAATTATTACAGGTTTAACTAGGGCTTCAAACGAGTCGAGCGGCTCACGAGCCGCTCGCAAGCGCTCGAGTCAAAGCTCGACTCGAGCTTGAGCACGAACTCGAGTCGAGCCCGAGCCCATATTTTGCCTTGTCGAGCGGCTCGAGATATACGTTAATTCCTAAAATACCCCTTATTATATATATTGACATAGGTGCTTAATGGTAATTTTACCTAATTTTCGAGCCGAACTCGAGCTATTGTAATTTTTTATCGAGTCGAGCTCGAGCTCGAGCAGCTAAAGAAAAAAACTCAATTCTGCTCGATAAGGCCAATGCTCGACTCGGCTCGGCTCGTTTGCAGCCCTAGGTTTAACGAACATAGGTTTAACGAACAGGAAACTATTTGGGAGCAATTATCAACAATAAGAACATAAGCTACATCTTAGGGTTACCCTTACAACTCATTTTGGGTATAGACACCACAATTTTAACAGAGCACAGACACTGCAAATCAAATATTCAACCCACACACACACACACACACACACACACACACCCCAGTAAATCGAAATTTTCTCACTGCAAATGCTTAATTCTTTCGAACCTTTAAATACCATAATCAAACCATACATAACATATTATTCCCAAAATATAAAGATCGAATTTTTAACTAGAAATTTTACTTAATTCCAAATAAAAAAAAA